TTTTATTTTACATTTGTACTTTATTGTATACCCTTAGTAGTATCCAGAATAAATAAAAACAATTATGACAAATTTATATTATTGTGTTGTGATGTGTCTGATTGCTTTCTGGTGCTCATTTAATATACGCTTTTTATATGGATAATAATTATATTATTCTAGTGTGGCCATGCATTAAATATATTGATACATACCCTATGGCACCATGACATACTATAAGATATCCTCACCATGGACCAATTTGCTTAACGACCTAGTCATAGGAACTGAACTAAGTGGTTAAATAAGGAGTGCCTGTATTACCCTGCCCTGACAGCCACAGTGCCCAAGAGCTACAAGACATGAAGCCATTCTATAAACTCTAAACAACTACAAATAAAAACTATTCACTCTGAGCCAGCAGGTGGTATGGTATTTGATCACTGGGCCCTACATGGCCATCTCTGTGGTCTGAAGCCCCCATCTAGTGACTTGAAGAACATGTCGAGTGCTTGTGTGTGCATACCCAAAATCCTAAGAGGAGAATAGAAGAGAAGGGATTGTGGCGTGGCCATTCCCCCATGGAGTGATTTCTCACTTTCCCTCTCTCTCTGTCTCTCTTCAGAGAGCCCACATACTGAAGAGCAAACAATAAAAATCTAAAAAAAATAAAACTATTCATTTTAAGTGAAGGCAATTAAGTTTGCATGTTTGCAGATAATAAAAACTGACTCAAACAGTGAGAGCAAGCCATTTAAATGTAACAGAATGTAGACTGACTCCTTCCTTGATATAATTCTTTTGAGTTGAAACATTCATAATCAAAGTCTAATATCACAGTTACATAAAAAATCAAAATATACTTAGAAATACTAAAAATAGTCTGATAAATGTCATTTTAAAACTAAAAAATAATTGGGCCTCAGTTAAGGGTTTGCACGTCTGTGACCTCTTCCTTTAAAGATTTACCAACCCCACCTCTCCCAAATACTAACATTATAAAGCACAGCTTTAAATAGCTACAAAAAAAGCATTTGTAATTATAATTTGTAATCAATGTATTCAATGATTTTGCAGAGAGGAGGCCTTGGCACCATATTCAATTATCATCAACTGCAGAACTGCAGTGAGTTCTTCAAAATAAGGTGAATCGCTACAGGAGATAATGTGGGAAGAAGGTGGAAGAAGGGGGAGACTGTAAGGAAAAAGACTAAGAAAAAAAGAGATGCAAGACATTTATAGGATGCAGAAATGGATTATTATCTGTTGATGGTAACGTGTTTTGTATCCTCAACCGTACTGGTGTGAAGTGTATTCATGTTAGGTAAATTCAACCTACAAGCTAAGTGATGTACAGTGATTAAATGTATAAAATTAAATTAAATTTACAAAATAAAGTGAATTGCTCAGAGGCCTCATACCATGTCAAAAGCAAGAAATGAGCATCAATAAGTCAACTCACTCTGGTTTAGTCTATACCTTCTCTGACCCTGATTACACCAATGTTTGAACCATTCTTTCCTTTAATTTCCTCTCATTCTTTTAATTAAACAATCTCCTAATCAGAAAAGCACAGCTTCAGCTTCACATATACAGTATGCTAAATATACCTGAGTTTGCAGCTTCAGAGGAGAGTAAAAATAGGGGCGCCAAACCCGGTTTAATGCTGACAAACTAGGCAGTACTACCAGCCTATGAAAAAATTCCCCCACACAACCTTGAAGTGGTTTAATCTCTTGGATTAAGAGAAAAAGGAACAGCCTACGTGAAGAGTCCATATAGGCAAAAATTGCCAGATAAGCCAGCACCAGAACAGGAATGCAAGCTCCATGAGCTCCAGAATGACCTGTCCTGATCACCATGGTATCTATCCCTGAATACTTAACACAGTATCTGTAACACTGTGATGGTTAATAATCATTTAATAAATAAATGATAGCTATCATTCGTTTATGATGGGCTTTTCATGAAGAACTTTTTCAAGCATATCACAGAATAACAAACCTTTAAAATAACTAGTAGTGGAGACCTGGTGGGGAAGGAGCACTCTGAGGCTCATAATGACCCAATGAAAGGGCAAGTGTACTTTTTCCTTCAGTTTCAGAGAAATGAGGTTTACAGACTAACGTTCCCAAGAAGACAAAGCTCTAAAGGGCAAAGCCAGGAGGGTGTCTTACCAGGAGCCTGGGCACCTTCCTCTCTGCCACATCCATAACCCAACCATGGTTAGAGCTAGGGGAAAAAAAAACCCTGGAGAATACAGGCTCACCAAAAGTTGTATTATCAAACATTCAACATATGGGTTGTGTCCCTGAAAATAAATCAATCTTATTTCAGTATCGCAGAGACACAGACAATTGGGGCCTATGTTTCTGTTTCTAACAGGCTTCCTTCAAACTCCTATGTTCAGAGCACTGCTGGGGGTTCCTGCATGTGCAGGTGCCCTGCTGAAAAAGTGCCTGACTCGCAGGGACCGATTCATAAAACAAATGGCTGCAAAGCTGAAAATATAAATTAAAAGCCAGCTATAACAATACTAATCTCCCTTCACTAAATTAATATCCACATGCTCTTCCTGCAAAACTGCCTGACGAAAGGAATTCAAAGAACCGGCCAAGTAAATAAAAAGGGTTGCCCTGCACCCTATAACGAAAGCCATGTCGCTGTAGTGAGAACACTGACTCATCTGGTCAGTGTCACATCTTGGCTATTCCCTGAGTGGCCCTGAAAAGGAGCATTCAGGTGCTACCTATAGGACTATGAGGATTCCTTCTAAAAACGCGAAGCTGTATTATATAGAGAATGATTAAAAAACAAAATTAACTACGGGCTGGGAACGGAAGTCAAGTTCAGATTCTCTTCCTTCCTTAAGCGAGTCAGAGAATTAAAGAACCCCCCCACCACCACCACACACCCGCCCTGCAGTAAAAATGTCACGGGGCCTCTATCTGCACCTGTGGCAATCAACGCAGCAAGCCTGGATCTGCTGAGAATTAAAGCTTTCTTTCACTTGAGGGGGTGAGGGGTGCAGAAGCCCCGGGAAGAATGAACTGGTGCCTAAGTTTTCAATAGGATCATTCTCAACTTGGGCACCTATTTCTTTCCTCCCTTCCTCCGGCCAGGAGCACACAGCCGGGCTCTGCAGCGCGGGCACCCGGGACAGGGCTGGAGGGTAGCGCTGCCGCAGCGAGGCACCACCCCCGCGCCCCTCGGCGTCTGGGCGCAAGCTGCCCCGGCGCGGATACCCGGCAGGGGAGGAATTTCAGTCCACGCCGCCTGGCGTGGGGACCGCGAAGGGGCGGCCGCGGCGGGGCGGAGGGGCGGGGTGAGCCCTTCCTGC